TCCATCCCTTGATGCCATGTCCACCACGGAACCACGTTTTGGGGTTGACCCCACTGGAGACATTTCCTGGTGGCCCCTCAACCATCTTCATCCACCCCAAGGTTCTTGGAGCCACCAAGAAGCCACATTTTGAGGTCAACCACACTGGAGATGTGTCTTGGTGCCCCCCAACCATCTTCAGCCCCGGGTTCTGGTCACCACCAAGAGCCACGTTTTGGCGTTGACCCCACTGGAGACATTTCCTGGTGCCCCTCATCCATCTTCATCCACCCTGAAGTTCTGGTAGCCATCAAGGAGCCACGTTTTGGCGTTGACCCCACTGGAGATGTGTCCTGGTGTCCTCTCAACCCTTCTCCTCCAGTGTGAGGTTCTGGAAGCCATCAAGGAGCCACATTTTGGGGTCAACCCCGCTGGAGACGTGTCCTGGTACCCCCCAACCATCTTCAGCCCCAAGTTCTGGTCGCCACCAAAGAGCCACGTTGTGGGGTTGACCCCACTGGAGAGGTTTCCTGGTGCCCCCCAAAGATCTTCATCCACCCCAAAGTTCTGGTAGCCACCAAGAAGCCATATTTTCAGGTCAACCCTACTGGAGACGTGTCCTGGTGCCCCCAACCATCTTCAGCCTCAGGTTCTGGTCGCCACCAAAGAGCCACGTTGTGGGGTTGACCCCACTGGAGAGGTTTCGTGGTGCCCCCCAACCATCTTCATCCACCCATAGTCCCTGCTAGCCACCAGGGAGCCACGTTTTGACGTTGACCCACCGGAACCTCATCCTGGTGGCCCTCCAACCCATCCTCCTCCCACTCCTTTCTCCTCCACCACCACCTCCGCTCCGAACCTACGGATTTTCCCACGGCATGGCGGCGGCGGCGGCGGTGGTGGTTCTGGGGTGAGGATGGGGGTTGGCGGAAGATTCCGGAACGGCTCTGGGATTAGAGGAGAAGGCGGAGGAAGAGCCGTTTCCTCCTCCCGGCTCCGGATAAAAACCCCGACCTCGGCGGCGGCAGGAG